GGGATAAGATGGATTTCTTTCTGCTTTACACATAGATTTTGCCCACGGTAAGAGAAGATTCTGGCTTCTTCTCCTGTCACGCCATTAATTCTTATGGGGAGGACCGTGGAATAATTCAGCTCACAGTGCAAGGTAGGAAGGAGACAGCAGAGGGGGAAAAAACATGGCTGTCTCAGGACAGGAAGCGTATGCTCAGGCTCCGGCATCTGTGTGAACACAGCTTGCTGTATAACACTTCCTCATCCTCACGAAAGTTTGACTATGCGGAAGCCATATTTTGCAGTGTCCCTGAATACGTCAGGGTGCAGCCTCAAACACAGGGAACAAAGTCCGTAAAGGAACTGGGTCACATGACTCGGCAGTCCTGCTGAATGCACAGCCGTGCAGCAGCTGCCTCCTTGGCTCCGTTTCAGGCATCCTTGTATTGGATACTCCGAATGAAAAGAGTGTAACGTTAGAAGTCCCACTCTAAATAGTCCTTGAGTGATAGATTCCAAACTGGAAGAGGGACATTTAAATCCTTTAGGTTTGGCCCAGCTCTGCAAGTGCTATGAAAATTGGCAGTGGGGGGCAAGTGGAATTTCTTGTCCTTAAAATGTGATTATGAGAAAAAAAAATGCTTCCAGGTAGAAAGCGTCTTCCAGTGTGGAATACTGACAAAGCTCTCGTGAGTCACACTGGGCGCTTCCGCTCACGTCTCATGTCTGGACTAACCTCGTGTCATGTTGATTGCACAGAGCCCCCGGACCCACCCGAAATTGAGATCAAGGATGTCAAAGCACGCACAATCACCCTCAGATGGACCATGGGGTTTGACGGGAACAGCCCCATCACGGGCTACGATATAGAATGCAAAAATAAATCAGGTAAGTCCTTCATTTCCTCCAGCTTTGTTTCTGCTTCAAAAAGCCCTTTTGTTTTCTTCCATTTTTATTTACCTGTATGAATAAATCCAAACTCACGGGAACTCAGAGGAGGCTCCTCTTACCAGTTTGTGTCTGCCCTGGCCCGAAGCCCCTCCACGTGTCCTTCTGTGGAAGTGGAAGTCTGTGTCGCGATGAACTCGCTGGCTCAGCTCTGCCTCCTTTCCCTTGGAGCCAGCAGGGCCTCAGTCTGGCTTCACGCCAGCCGCTTGGGCCTTCTCGCGGGGCCGATCGGCACGTGTGCAGCTGCTGACAGCATTGTTTTTTCTCCCTCCTCGGCTGCCCTTCACTTCCCATTTGGACTTTTACTGTGTCTCATCATAGAGACGAGGAATTAGAGCACCATCAGCATGGGAAGGGCTAACGAAGTTCTCAGAAGCCACACAAGGAGCCTTATTTGTCACTGTATGGGCACTGTAGATTACCCTGTCGTAACCAGGTTGTACCTTTTGAGCTGAAGCTGTAGTAAACATTAAGCTGGAGGCAGCATGAAAGGCAGGTCAGGAGTGAGGGGATATTTCAGTATGCACGTGCAAGGGACAGCGTGAGGACACGGCCTGCAATGGGACCTGAAAGGGACCGTGAAGAACTGCCAAGGGAGAGGCGTCAAGGAAAGCATGATGTGAGGATTAAAAACCAAGAACAGTGCTTCGCGCCGTGCTTGAGACTTGCAAGAAGGAGCTGGATCGGAAACAGAGGCAGGATGGTGGCACTCGGCTTGTTGGTCTTAAGGTGCAGCTGGAGACCCGGAAGTGGGAGATGCAAACACAAGGCCCAAGGCTGCAGGCCCACTGTCACCAGGAACTGTGACAGGAACAGCACAGGCTGGGGGCAGGGGTGTGGTGACCTGGGCAAGCCATCCAAATCTAAGAACCATCTTTTTCACCTACAACATTTTCAAATGCGTAAATTGATCGGGCCCTACATCACCAAGGTCACAAGCTCCTTCTCTGTGACGGTCCGAATGGAGGGCAGATTTCTGTCCTTCACGCTCTACTTCAGCTGCACACAGGACCCCCGCATGGCTAAGATGTTCCCACAGCCCTGGAGCAAGGCAGTGTGGGGGTTTAAATGAGCCCCCACGCCGAGGAAAAGCTCATGGGACAGGCAGGCCAAGCTCATGACCTGAGACGTCCACCAGGGCCCCTGAGGGCCTCCATCGCTGTCCATTAGAAAGCCCGGGGATGAAGGATCTAGGCTGGCTGTAGGTGTAACTGTTCACTGCCTACGTTGCATTAGGCAGCATTTTCATGTATTAGCTGGTCCTTGCTAAGTTCTGAGTGTATAAAACTACAACCACAGTTTCAGTGAGTGCAATTTATAGGCCGAGTACATAGAAAACTGATCTGCCAGTCACAACTTAAATGTCCCTTACTCCAGGAAGCCTTCCCGACCACCCATTTTATAGTGTGCCCTTTCTGTACTCATACAGCACCCTGTGCACCTTGAAGCACTGGGTGGGCTTGTGACTGTTTAGTTACTGTAGGGCTCTTGCGCTGGGAAGGTGTTTAATATGTCTCCTCTACTGAGCAGTTGTCCCCCTGAGGGACAGAGACTGTGTCATTAACCCCTGATGGCAGGAACTGTTGTCTGAGGACCCCTGTGCTATGTCCCTACAGCTCTCACAGAGACCAGCACATATACAAGACTTGTAATAAACATTTGTTGACTTCTTGATTCTCAACCCCTGTTTTAGGCCATGAAATCATCCCCACAAAGATGCTTTCTTCTACTTTTTTGTTAATTTACTAAGAACAATGTGTTTTCGATCATACTTCACATTCTCATCAAACTGGGTTCCTACAACTGATCCTTCCGCTGATGCTTGAACGGAGATTCATTGGCCCCAAGAAAGCACCATTCTGCCATGACTGTTGGAAGTTCTTGCATTTCTTGCACCAAAATAGACCTTCCTGAATCCAGGGGCCCTCTTCCTGCCCCTAAACCCTTTGGTCAGATGACGTTCCTTCCGGGATTTGAAAATAGATGGCCCTCTTGGTTTTATATTTGCCAAGAAAAACGAAAAATATCCCAAGTTGCTTTACTTGTATCTCCTACAACCATCTCCTGACCCTCACTCGGGTCTTGCTCACTGTCAGTCTCCCGGGTGTCACCCCACCAGGTACAGGCACAATGGAGCCCTTGACTCCCTCATTCAGAATATGTGACTTCTCTTCGTGTAGCCAGCAGTCCCACAGTTGCTCCAGCTTGGTTCCTAGTGACCACTGCTTGTCCTCCCAATGGACACCGGAACCCCTTGAACGGCCCCTCCCAGCACCATGCGCTGTGAGCACCTCCAGCTCGTCAGCCTGCTGTCTCCGCTTCCTTCTCCTCCTTGGAAGGCGCCTGTCTCGTCCCACGTCCCCTCTTCTGGGGCCTCTCTCCTTCCCCACAGTGCCTCACAGATCTCTGAATGGGCTTCAGCACTTTGACACGCTCTCTCGCACCCTGGCATGTCACCTTCCAGGCCAAGAAGTACAAACTCTCTTATACAGCTAGCCATGGGAGAGTTTTATTTATTTATTAGTTCTAGATTTGCTCTTACTTTTTGTATGATTTTGCCTCTAGAACTTTTGGTCACCCTCACTCATTCTGGCCTCTAATTACACTTCTTCAAGTTCACCCTCTTACAGTTGTCCTGGATGACCTGCCATCCTCCTGACTTGGGGCGTCTGACCCCCAAGCTGGGCTCCCCAGTGAGTAGCCAGCGACACTGGCTCCTGTGGGCTTCCCCAGTCCTTTCCCATCGGGGGTGTTTGGAATTTCGGAGGCAGGCACATGATTCTGAGCTTTCCCATCCTTTTATACCACCCGTCTCTGGGGCATGTCATAGAACACTGCCTATTTTTCAGCGCATGCTTCTGACCTGTCCTTCTTAAGCCAAGGTACAGATCTGACCATGCACAGCTCTCCCAACCTTAGTTCTTACAAACCCACAGGTGCTGCAATAGCTCTTGGCCAAAGTCCCCCTCTTGAACTTGGCCCAGCTCTTGGCATTGCTCCTCCTCATCAGGAAGCCAAGTGAAGGACTTGTCAGAAAGTCTTCATGTCAGCATATGAGACTTTCAGCTGGTGTATGGAAAACTGAAATCCAGTCCAAAGGGCATCCTGTAGAGACTACGTGGAGGTCATGAGCTATAGGACAATGGCCTACAGCCCTGGGATGGCACAGCTGAGGTCAAATCCCAGCCCCACGTTTCACCAGGCACGTAACAAGGTCTGAGTTTCTTGACCTTCACAATGAAAATAAAAATCCCTACCTCACCAGGATCTTGTAAGCATTCCATCAAATAAAGCAGTCTGTCTAAACTCTGATGCATACATCAGAATGACACAGAGAGGAAGGCTTTGCTAGAACACAGGTTCTGGGCACCACGCCCCACAGATTCAGTAGGTCTGTAAGTGCAGCTGTCAGGGCTCCCAAGGGCTTCCAGGACGCCCACGGATTTGGGCTCTGCAGAAGCCATGATGTTCCCACGCCTAGCACAGCACTGAGTACACACGTGTGACTCCGCGGGCACGAGCGCCCTCTGCTGCTGGTCGTGCTCTGACTGCTCCCTTCACTTGCACCACGAGCCTGTTGTCTGTCCATCTCCAGGAGCCTGAACTCTGGGGACCATACCATACAGATTCCTTTCCTTCTGACTTCCGGTTGGTTTTGCCCCATGGCAGGCACGGAGAGAATGATTTAGACAAGAAGCTGGCAGAGGCTGTGTTCTGCATGCAAAGCTTCTCCCACGGGCCCCTCTTCTGAGCTTCCAGCACTGTCCCTTCCCTTTGGCCTCCTGACCCCCAAGAGGGAGCAGCTCCCCACTCTTGCTAGATGTTGGGAACCTCAGCATCCCCTATATCCCCGCCCACCCCTCTGTAAATAGACTCTTTGTAAGCATCCGCCAGGGTGACTTATAAACCCTCCTTGAGGCTACATGTGCTGTCTGCATCTAGAAACCTCCATCCCCTTTCTCCACTGGCCAAGGAGACCTGTGATAAAGCCCCACCACCATTTCATTCCTCACCCTCACTGTTTGTGTCCTCACCTGAACTCCCCGTTCATGCCAGCATCCTTCCTCTTGGACTTCCGTTTGCATTTCTGCTCATGATTTACTCCTCAGAAGTCTGTTTATTTTGTCTGTGGTATATTCTTGCTAGTTATATTTGCATTTCAATTTGCGTTTTTATCCTCTCAAGTATCAGGGTCTCTCTCTGATTGTTTCTAATGCCCATTGCAAACGTCTCAAGCACATTTTGTTAATTATCCATGACCCGCCTCTTTGCTCATCATTGCCTGAGATCAGAAGCAGCACTCTTAGTCCCTTTGCTGACTCTCTTCCCCTGGGTAGTCACTGACCTGTTTTTCTTCCTCCTTTGATGCCATATCACTTGCCAGAGTATGTTTAGGGATTTACCTAGACTCTACTCCATTCAGTTACTTTAAAATCCTTCAAGATAACACATTCTTTCTCATCGTCTTGACCTTTAGCTAAAAAATCTATCCTGTGTTGTTCTGAACCATATTCTAATAATCATAACCATTGACATCATCTTTCTTCTTTCAATGTTTAATAACTTCACCGAAGAAGCTAAATTGTAGCCCCTTCTCTAAGGATCTTCCACTTCCCCCCAGGATTCCCCCGCCTTGGTCACCGCCACATGGGCTGTCCTCACAAGTTGATTGGCAGGAGGAGGTGGTCAGTAGATGTCAAGGCTCTCAGCATTCCAGGCTCCCAGCCACCTCCCAGACACATGCTCCCGTGAAGATGGCCATGTCTTTATTGGCCCTGTCAGGTCCAGAAGCCTCCATAGTGCCCCGAGCAGAGTCATCACTACACTACCACAAGTGTCTGCTTCCTCCTGGGGCTAGGTAGCAACTTTGTCTGCATCTTGCACTACCTGGGCTTCCTCTCTGTCGTCCTGGATGTCTTCTCCGGAGAACGTGGCTTTCTCTTTGTGAGACAAGGGCTTATATGTACGTGTAACTTCATTGGCGTTGCATTCCCTCCCCGTCTTGCCCTCTATTGCATCACGTTCTTCTCCTCTGCCATCGTTTGATATTTTGCAGCATCTTTTATGTCGTGTTCTTCCACCTTCAATCTTGTTGGCATAGATAATATGTTTTCTTTTAGCTGGAACATTAGTTTAGTTTCTATTCTGTTCCATTCCCTAGTAAGTTAGAGTAAACGTAGGCTTTTGAGGCCACATATTTCTCCTACAAGTGCAGAAAATCTCTTGCATTTGTGGTCACCTCTGGACAGGGCAGCCCTCTGAACCTCCATTGTCACCATTAATGTGGAAACGGGTCATTCCCGGGTCTCGGGCATTTGTGTATTTGCTATTTGTTCATCTATTAAACACACATTTGTTATTGTCAGGATCTGGGGGAGCACTGGGAATACAGCACAGAACAGGGCAAATGTGGCCACTGCCCTCACAGGGCTTCCCCAGCAGGGAACACAGAATCTCAATGAAATTCTTATGAGTGTGACAAGCACCATACAAGAGCACACCAGGAGGCTGGGGAGTGTGTGAGCATCCTTTCCGTCCCCCATCTGAGGGTGTTCTCTGTTCTTCCACAACCAGCATCATCTCTTAGCCACCGCCCTCATCAGCACCCCCCCTCAAACTCTTTCTGAAATAAGAATCATTTACTGACCTTCTCTTCATTAGCTGAAGCCCCCAAATCAGCAGTACCTATTGTCACAAATTCAATGACAACTCTTCATGTGAGGCATGTGCTGTCTTTAAAACGATAAAGGATCTGGGACTAAATGATTTCAAAAGTTAGAATTGAGACATACACTTGGCAAGCAGTGTTTATGCTGGAGACTGAGGTTAGTTTTAAGGAAGTGTTTCATTTTTACCACCGTTTTCTGGAGAAGAAGGGCTCTGGCATGGCTGGAGATTTTGCTGAGTTTTAAATACCTTTTAGAACCAGGGATATTTTTTCTTTGGGGTGTGCAGGGTGGTGTCCGAACCCTAATTCCTTTTTCTTATCTTGTACAACGAGTGCTTAGATGTGGCTGTTTTTCACTTCACTGGTCTGAGCCTCCACCATGTCTAGTTTCCCCTGTAGACTGTTCTGCCAGTAGACCCACTGTGCTGCCTCAGATGTCCCTCTCTGAATGCAAATGCCCACAGCCCTTGTCCCCTGTCAGTGGGGACAATGAGCATGTGGTGTCATCCCCTCTCTGATGGCCAGCCCGCCAGAACACTGAGAGCATTGCATTAAGAATTCACTTTGAGTTTGGTTATTTCTTTGGTTTTTAATTTTTAATTCCTACTTATGAATTTGCAAAGGCAGAGGAAAACAACTCACATCTCTATCTCTTCTTTTTTGAAAAACAAAACCCAAAAGACTCCTGGGATTCTGCTCAGAAAACCAAAGATGTCTCCCCCCAGCTGAACTCGGCCACCATCATTGACATCCACCCTTCCTCCACCTACAGCATCCGCATGTACGCCAAGAACCGGATCGGCAGGAGCGAGCCCAGCAACGAGCTGTCCATCACCGCGGACGAGGCAGGTGCGTGTGACCCGCAGACACCCACGCCCAGGGGCCCGGGGCTGGCTCTCGGGGCTCAGATGGTTCATGCGAAACCAGACCTTTGATGAACGCTCTCCATAGTCCATGCCCTTCCAGAAACACAGACAGTGCTCTGGTTCCTACTTGGAAGGCACGCCTCTTCAAATGGGGCTTAATTCAAGGTTCTCATACCCAAGGCTTAAAAGAAAGGCATAGAACCAAACAATCCAGTGAGAGTTACAGGACTCTGCCGTTTTCACCGTCCCTTTGGTTGGATGCATGGAGTCAGGTGGCAGCAGAACCATGAGTGTACGTCTTGCCCAAGACCCTGTGCAGTCCAGGTGAGGGAGGGGGCTTAACTAGGAAGCAGCAAGAATATTTTCTGTGTACGGAGTTGGGGAGACAGTGGTACCGGTTATTTTACGGAGTAGAAATGTCACTATTTCTGTAAGAAACTGTATTGCTCTTTTTCCTATTATGGAGTATTTCATATTCAGTTGAAAATTTAGAAGATAAAGATAAGAATTGTGAAGAAGGCAAAACATCTTCCTATCAGCTAGCGCTATCCATGGGCATGTTGGTATCACCTACGAAATCATTTTTGTAACCTGTTTCATCACCCACACGCATGCATGCATGCTCACCCCACACACACACACACACAAGCGCGCGCGAGTGCAGGCACACACAAGTGTACACACACTCTTCAACACCGTGGTCCACTCATGGCCACCAGGGGGTGAAATGAACTGGCCTGTGGAGGACTGAGCAATTAGTCAGTAGCAGAAACGCCTTCTGGAAGGAGAGGATGAAGCGAGCTGCCCTTGGGTTTTTCTGAGGAAGGAAAGATAAGGAACCAGAGCTTGGCTCATCTCTTGAGAGACACTCATCTCTTGAGTGTCCAGCCCCAAACCTATCATCAGCCACTACCTACTGCTATGGTCAAGTTGGAAGCCTGGGCTCAGGTCCCTAATACTCCATCACCAAGGTTAAGGTGGTCGTCTCCAAAGGACCAAGAGTCCAATGGGAGGTTTGTTTCACCTTTTAGTTGGGAATTAGGATTGTCCCTGACTTCCTTTCCACCACCCCTCTCTGTTGCCCTCACTAAAGGCCTTCCAAACAGACATGACGCATGTAGCTATTACGTCATCTCCAGTTGGTAAGGGTGCCATCCACCATTTATTTAACACATTCCGTAGTGTTGGGCATGTCAGTTGTTTCCAGTTATTCATTATTACAGGCACCACTGTGATGAAGATCTTTGGGGTATACCTTTTGTGATTTTCGAGATTATTTTCTTAGGTGAAATAGCAAGAAGTAGGATTGCTGGATCAAAGCAAAAGCAAAATTTAACTCTTTCAATCGGTGTAGTCAATATTGTCCTCAAGGAAATAGGTTAACATGTACAATTTTTCCTGAACAGCGAGTGAGCACTCATTTCTCAGCACTGTAACATAACAGTTCTTGAAAATTGCTTTTAAGGGAGGGTGTTAGGATAGCTTTATGCTTAAGTATCTGAGGATGAGCTGTTTCTAATACTTGGATTAGCAATCACACAGAATATGATTGCTTATCTCCAAAATGGACATAATGAAGCCTCCTTACCCCAAACATATTAGATACATGAAAAAAATTCCAAGCTCTAAAAGTACTTTGCATGTCTTAGAAATAAGTGGGAAGTGAGTGTTAGCATGCTCCTGCAAAAATAGAATCTTATTTACATATTTATACAAACAACCCACTAACTGCCTGGAATTTCATTGCACTGAATATTTAGGGAGAATA